CTTGGCAGGACCAACCCTCTACTGACCCATGTGTGCCCAGGTTGCAGCCAGAATGCCAAGAGGAGGAGGACGGAGGGGGGCGGATCCTTTGGTTGTCATCCTGCATCTGCAGCCGGATGGGCCTGCGCAAGCCCCAAGAGATATTCAGCAAACCCTCGACGATGAACTCGCCTTCCTCCTGGTCAGCAAGACACAAAGACATACACCAGCCGCTCAGAGCGCTGCCTAAGGCAAGGCAGATCTACACACTCGCCCTGCTCAGACATGAGACAACCCCCCTTCCGTGAGCAGCAGGCAATGTCAGCACCATGCTATGGACAGGGAAAGGGACCCCAAGGGTGCTGGATTTCCTCACTATGTGGCATTCCGCCACTGGGCAGTGCGGGAACCAGAACCTAGGAGGCCTGACTCCCGACTTTGGTCTTAGTAAAAACATTGTACTTAGGGACAGGACTGCTGCAAGCCAGTGCAGTTATCCTGGTAAAAGCCCTAGAATGGAGGCAGTTACCCCAGGAAAAGGGGGCCTGGTACTGCTCTAGCTTGTTCACTATCGCATGTGGAAATAAGTATGCTGGCAGAAACACCTTTACAGAGCTGTAACTACAGCCACAGCAAGGGTAGTAACTGCACTAGGATAGTGAGAGAGAAACAAGCATGGAAAAGAAATCCTCTGCTCTAATCCCTAGGCTATGCCCCCCCCTCCCAAGCTGAGGAAAGGCTCCCAGCCTTCTGTTCTAACCAAAGGCCACATTCTCTCAGGAGCAGTGCACTCAATACCCAAAAGCAGCCCCCAGCACACAATGGGGGACAGGCTTAAATCAGGCAACATTGAGAAATAATTAATAAAAAGTTGGTCTAAAGCAGGGCTGGGCAAGATGTGGCCCAGGGGCCAGATCCAGCCCACTTAACACTTTGATCCGGCCCGTGGACGGCATCTGGCTGTTTTCTATTTATAGCCTGCTGCCCATGCCACAGAACTTCCAGGCGCTGGCGCAGGCAACCAGATCCTATTTAAAAGGCTCCTACAAGGTGGCCGGAGCCATAAGCCTTTTAAATAGCCACAGCAAACCCAGGTGGCTGCCAGGCAACATGGTGGTGCCAGGAACCAGGAGCACTTTGCTGTGTTTTTAATTCAAAACCTCTGCGGAGAGGCTAGTCCCCAGTCCCACCTCTTCCACCCCAGGCCTTCCACTTCCAGGGGTGAAGCTGGCCCGTAATTACCTATCAAAATTCATTAAGTGGCCCCCCTTGCAAAAATTATTGCCCATGCCTGGTCTAAAGGATCATGGTGTTCCCATTCCAGCCTACAAATCCTGAGAAAAGACCAGTTCACATCCCTAGTGGGAATCTATTAGTCGACTATCCGATAAGCAAATGCCTATCGGACAGTCGACAGGCTAGTTGACTAGACGCTTCTCCCCGCCCACCCTGCTGCCTCTATCAGAAGGGGCTGCTTCAAAGCAGCAGCGCCGCATGGAGCCTGGGGCCAGCTGGGGACTCAAGAGTCCTCACCTGACCCCAGACTCCGCTTTGAAACACCACGGGAAGCACGGGGCCAGCGGGGAACTGCTTGAGTCTCCCACTGGTCCTGTGCTCCCCGCAGCGCTTCCGACTTTGAAGTATAGCAACACTTCAACGACGGAAGCACCCTTATTGACTAATCAAATAGTTGCTGCAAATTGCATCGACTATTCGATTAGCCAAATAATTGAAATTTTATATCCCTCATTCCCACCCCTATTTACAACTAGCGTCAAAATTCCCATTTATTCCACACAGCGATTGTGGTGGAAGAGGACAGCCCCTGCATCACTACATTTCTCTCAGAAAGAAAAAGGACCTTAAGCCCCTGCCAGCTGTAGAGCTCCCACTTGCAGTAAGAACCAGCCAGCAGCTGACTTTCGCAGTCACTTTTTGACCTCCAAGGCGGGCCTTGTCCCAGGCAGTCTAATTTTTCCTCACATGGCCCCCTCTATCTAAGTCACAAGACCTCCTGGCTCGATATTTACACATCGATTTCTCACCTCTCTGTTCCGGAGCTGCAAATTCTGACCTTCATAATACAAGTTGTACGTCTTTAAGTGCAACAGCAGCTCGTTCCTGGAAGAGAAACATTGGTAATGCAGGAAAGACATAGCCCGAGGAGAGGAAAAAGGCAGAGCCAGCGAAGCTCGGGTTCTTATCCTACACCTGTCACAGTGGCACCCAAGGGCCTGAAATGGTGACCTGGAATGAAGCAGATTTGATGGAGTCAGGAGTGAATTTCCAGAGCCAAGGCTGGACTAAGGCAAACAGGCCATAGGAACAATGCCTCATGACACCTCAGCAATAAGGCCCAGACCATTTAACAAATGCAGGATCCAGTCCTTAATTAGCAGGAGTTACAAATTAGAGATACAAGTGAAAACTGGCGGTGGGGAGCTGAAAATTCCTGACTAGTCTAAGGCGCTAGTTAGGGGGGGGTCAATCCCCTATGCAGAGGGTCTCCAGTAGCCAAATCAGAGAGCACCTTGTTTCATGGATCAGACCAGCTGCTATCTTGCTAGGAGACAGTGGGCCAAGGAGGACACTGGGCCTCTGTGCTGCCAGCTGAACCAGAATCACTTCCTAGAGCTTCAGTGAACAACTCCCATTTTGATTTGGAAGGCTTAGAGTAACAACCTGCAGGGCAAATCAACCTGATGGCCCTAGAGATGGGCAGGGATTTTGCCCTACTCAAAGCAGAGGCCATAAATGCTGGTTTACTATATTGTCTGGTCAAAAGTAAGAAGTACACAGACAACAATGCCGTGACCTGCCAACCACCACTGCTTCCCATACAAAGGCCACTCAACATCTGATCCATCCAACCAGGCATCACAAATAGCCCAGTCTCTGAGCGATCAGGTGCCCCCTCGGTAACATTTCTATTACATACCAGAGGAAGGTCACCTTGCATTTCCACAGCAGAGGGGTAAAAGCTCTGCAAAGATGGAGAAATTATCCCAGCCTGATTTTTCAGATGGGAGAACAGAGGCAGACATCAAGTCACTATTTCCCCAACGCTCATGTCCAGGATTTGGAGTGTCTCCATCTGAGGCACACGATGAGCCCTGGGCCTGGTCTGCACAGTTTATTCTGGGGTAGTTATTTTGGTTTGGAGTGGGATTTTTTCTTCTTACCAACATAATTCCACTGACAGAACCCCTAACGTGGCTCACATTCTGTATGTTGTTATTCCTATCTAAGGAGGTGGGGCCGTAACCAGCATCTTTCCTACTCATCTCTCCTTGGCTGCAACCCATTCAATGATTTCTCAGCCACGGAATGTTACTGTCTCTGCTCTGCCTCCTCTTTGCAATATCAATTGCTAGAGAGATCACTTCCCCCTCCACCTCTGCCCACAGATTAAAGAACTTTGTGTGACGGCATCTGCCCCTCCTCCACCAGTCCCCAGGTGCTTTCATAAATAAATTGTCAGCTCATACCACCAAAAATATTTCTGCATTAAGCTCTGGTTGCAATCTTACTTTGAAATGTATTTGTCTTTTCCACAGGGGATGACGGACGACTGGCTGTAGTAATCCATCCTCACAATCTTCTTTCATTAGGAGCACAGATCTGTATGGGGGGGGGGGGGGAAGGGTAGAGGAGAAATTTACATTAATCACTTTATCATTTCCATCTTAACATGTGCAGACTGGGTCAGATCCAAAGCCCAGTGGATTCAATGGAATAAATAACACTTCCTTATCTACTACTGCAACAACAATAACCCATGTTTAATCTGAATGGCCAAAGGCTCTGAGGATATCGCTGAAACTAACAGGCTCTGACGAGTTACCTAGCGCTTCCAGTTGCTTTTTGGGCTGGAAATGCCAGGGGCATCTCTCAAGGTATTTTTGACTCATCTACTCCGTGGATTCCCACAGATGCAAACAGAAAGCGAGTGAAGGGAAGAAGAATTATTTACCGTTCGGATCAGACTCCGGTTTGGGTCAGCTATCACTCACCCTGCTCACAGTACGGTTCCCCTCCCTCCCATCACTCATAAGCATAATAAGAACAGCCTCCTGTGTTTTGAGAACCACTGCAACACACACGGAAACTTCCATCCATTACAGCAGTGTTTCTAAAGGGAATCTAGGGGCCATGCAACCAGGGATTCAACATAAATTAAGAAAATCTGGAAGCTGCTTTTCAACCTCTCTGGATCAAGAGAGGGTTTTTTGGCTGAATCCAGCAGAGAAAATAATAAATAACGGGCTTAAAAAACAAATACAAGGGCAGTTGGCCTGAATACAAGATTCTCCTTTGCCCCATTGCCAGTAGCCCAGGCGGACATGCATTTTCCCCATGCACCAACACCAGAAATCCCCAGTTGTCATATTTGAATCTGCCTTGATCAATCAATAAGAAGCGTGTTGGAATTCCCCAGTGGAAAGTAACTCTGGCAAGCTGTTGTGACTATTTAACACAACATTCGACTGCCTCAGCATTTTGGTTGCAGGGGAACAACCCAATTTCACACACAAAGGACAGCCTGTTTCCCCCTCGCACTTGAAATAAATAAGTTGTGTTTTCGGCCTCATTTCAGCTCTCTTGAAAATCCTATTTTTATAAACTTTCAAACGCAGACTGGCCTTCCCACCAAAGTCCACCCTCTACATCAGTGCTCCCCCAACCTTCTTAACCACAAGATCACTTTCAATTTCAACTTTATGTGCAAAGTAAGATCTACCTCAAATCCAAATACCCTTGCCCAGCTCCCTTCCCCTGCTTCTGAGGCCCCGCCCCTGCTCTACCCTTTTTCCGAGGCCTCATCCTGCTCGCTCCATCACTTTCACCAGGCTGGGATAGGGGGTTGGGATGCAGTCTCTGGTCTTGGGCTAAGGGGTTCAGAGTGTGGGAGGGGACACCCTGAAGGTAGGGATGTGAAGCAGGCTTTGGAGTGGCCTAGGGGATAAGGCATTTGCCTGGGAAGTGCAGGGATCGGGGTTTGATTCTTCCCCCACCCCCACTGGGCATGGCTAGACAGTCAACACAAGCTGCCCCAGGAATGGAGCTGGCACCTGCATTAGGAAAGCAGGATAAGGGATGGCCTGAAGGTAAGGAGGTAGGGTGGGATGTGCAGTGGCTTAGGGGATACAGGATTTGCCTGGGGAGCACAGGCTAGTGAGTTCAAGTCTCATCTCTACTACACCCACCCTGGACCCACACCACCCCCAAAGGCAGCTGACAAGCACAAAAGTGGCTCCAACACCCCAAGCACTGCCCCTCATCAACAGGCCCCAACCACAGTCTCCATCAGCCACAGCTCTCCTCTCCATTATTGATCTATGGGAGCTGCAGGAGTGGTGTCTGCAGGCAAGGACAGCATGTGAAGACCCCCTACTCTGGCTTTCTCAGGGGCTGCCAGCCACCTCCAGGAGCACAACTGCCACAGGGATAATTACTCCAACCACAACAGGCTAGACCTGTTAGCACTCACTACTCAAAGAGTTAAATTTAAGCATGAGAGAAATGAAATTCACAGTCAACAAAAACCAAAACTAACCTACTTTGCAAGCAGTAAAAGTAGTAACAACCCCCTACCCCGTGTGTGTGTTGGGTCAGGATATGAGAAGGACAGTGTGTGTTTGTGAGTGACAGATTTGCATTGCCAAGCTAGCTCCCTCCATCCCCTTCTCTCTGTGGAGACAGGGTGCAGGAGTGGGGGGAGGAGGGACACCCCAACATCAGCCCCATCTTCTCCCTCCCACACCCTGCACAGCAAGCAGGAGGCTCTCAAGGGGGCAGCTTCAAGGCAGAGGGCAGGAGCAGCATGACAGCAGGTGGAGGGGCAACTGAAGTGCCAGCACTTGACAGTTTCCCAGCAAAACCAGTCAGAATCACCTGTCAGAGGCTCCAGGATCTACTGGTAGATCCCAATGTGCTGGTTGGCAACCACTGCTCTACACTGACATCCACAAAGGATTTGGGTTTTGGTGGTGGCAGTTTCTGGCAATTTCATGGGTTGAGAAATGGAGACAAACACTTGGCCAAAATTTCCCTCATGCACATGCAAAAAAAAAAAACCATTAATTTTTGACATTTGAAATGCTTCCCCTCCCTTAAACTGTCAGTTTTTATTTATTAATCAGGAGCAATGAAGCATAACTAAAAAGAGATTTTGGGCTAAGTTTTCCAAGATGGACAAATGCTTTAGGCAATTTGGAAACCATATTTGAGGCTCTTACCTCACTTAGGTGCTTTTAAAATTTTTCATGTCTCACTTCAAGTTGCTTCTAATAACAAATTAGAAAACACTGCATTACTGTGAAAGATAAAAGCTTTTCAGGGTATGTTTCTTCATTATGGATTTGCAATGTATCTAGTATAAAGGGGCCCTGATCCTTGTTTGAAACCCAGAAGAGTTACCACAACACAAATCCAATGGCACTACTGTAACAGATTCTTAAAGAGGAGATTTTATGCCCAAAAAATCCAGCACGTTATACACTATGCACACAACACAGAGTTTCCTCATCTGTACAGTGACAGTGAGGGATGTAAAATCCTGTTCAATCAGTTAGCCAGTTAAACATTAGGTTTAACTGGTTAACCGATTCCACGTGATCCCTCCCAGCCTGTGCAGGGCTGCCAACTCCAACTCCAGCCTGCTGGGCCCAGTGGGGCTGCTCTGGGCACCGGTTAATCGTTACCCGGTAAGCATCACCTCGTAAGGGTGATCTTACCTGCTAACTGGTTACCTGTTCACATCCCTAATGGCAATACTGTTACTGACCTGGGGGCAGCAGGGTCTGGCATGTATTTCCCAGCACGACTACACAGGCTGGTTGCTTGAGGACCCCAAAGGCCTTCACACAAAGAAGTCAGTTCTCTTAACAACTCAGGGAGGTGGATATTTTACAGAAGGGGAAACGAAGACACAATGAGGCAACCACCCGCAGTCACATGGCACTGGGTTAGGAATCCCTGCTCCAGTTCTCCTGGGACACCTTAGGAGACCCTCCCGCCACACACTGGCACAAGCCTGAACAAAATTGTATTTTTATTCTACTCCACACATCTACAAGACAAAAGCCTATATTTAAACACAGCCACGGCAAGCGAGAGACAAGCAGACAAAGGGCAGGAAATTCAAAGCTACAGCTAACAATCCACGGTGCATTGTCCTGAAAAAGAAGAACAGAAACACAAAATAATAACACAAGTAACAACGGAAAGACTGACTTGGCTTTTCATTTCCTAACTTATGCTACAGCATTTCACAACCACCCCAGCAAGGCTCAAACATTTGGGATAGGCTGTGAATGAACTGGGGGTGCGGGGAGTAGGGATCTTACCTAACAGTTAATTGAATAATTGACAAATGAACCTCATGAATTCTTATCAGTTAGTCGACTATTCTAGAGTCCCAGGGGTGGGGTTGGCAGCCAGTGCGCTCTGGCCCCACTCCCAAGGAGACTGCTGCCTCTGTATCAGACGCAGCAACACAGGGTGGCAGGCAGGACCTGGTCTGCAAGGAGAGCTAGTTTAAAAATCAGCTCCTCTCGCGGACCAGCTGCCTGTTACCCTGTGCTACCACTGCTGATAAGAGGCAGCAGCACGGGGTGGCAGAAGCCCCTGTCGGGGGGGTGAAGGGGAGGACTGAGCTCCCGGACCCAGAACAAGCCAGAACTGAGCTGGGCTGCCTGCCCACCTGGCTCCGAATACATTTTAAATGCAGAGCCGCAGCAGGGGTAGGTCCTGACTATTTGATTAGTCGATAGGGTGGTGATGACCCTTTGAAACGCCGCCGTGGGGCAGCGCTGCACAAGCCCAGGATCAGCTGTACAGCACTGCCCCCTTTGAAATGCCACAGCGATGCTTTAAAGGGGCAGGGCCGCACTGAGCCCGGGCTCCACCTCCCCACCTTGCTGCCTCTATTGTTAGAGGGGAGAAGCCACTAGTCGACGAGTCCTTAACATCCTGGCTCCCATAAAAAAAAAAAAAAATCGGTAGAAAACATTTTTAATTGGAGCCTCTAACAAACATTAACAGTGACCACAGGGGTGTTACAGGGCAGGCAAACACGAGCCATGTTAGACAATTATTACTACGTGTACTGATGTAGCCCACAGACCTCAGCTGAAACCAGCACCCCATTGCACTAACCCACACGTAGGAAAGAGTCCTTGTCCTGAAGAGCTTCTATGTCTAAGGGTACGTCTAGACTACATGCCTCTGTCGCCAGAGGCATGTAGATTAGGCTACCAGGCATAGGAAAATGAAGCAGCGATTTAAATAATCGCTGCTTCATTTAAATGTACATGGCTGCTACGCTGAGCCAACAAACAGCTAATCAGCATACCTGGGTGGTCGACAAATGCCTTTGATGTCGACACCCGCACGTCCAGACTACTGTGCTGAGCCAACAAACAGCTGATCAGCTGTGTGTCGGCTCAGCGCTGCAGCCATGTAAATTTAAATGAAGCGGCGATTATTTAAATCGCCGCTTCATTTTCCTATGCCTGGTAGCCTAATCTACATGCCTCTGTAGTCTAGACGTAGCCTAAAAGTGAAGGGAGGATTATGGTCTCCATTTTACAAATGGGGAACAGAGAAATTAAGGTCACACATGAAGTCTCTGGCACAGAGAGAAACCGAACCCAGATCCAGCAGACAGTTTTCATAGAAAAAGGACAAGAGGGAAAACTGAGGCACAGACATGGAAGCAACTTGCCTGAGGTCAGGAGACCAGTGGCAAAGCTGAGAGTAGAACCAAGGTCTCCTAACTGCCAGGCCAGCAGTCTGTCCACTAGACAACTCAGCCTCTCAGCGCTTTAGTAGCCATGGTCTTTGGGTTTCGTATCATTCCTCTCTTTGGAACTGTATTCCAAGTATATGCTCATTTTGATAGGCAGAAACGAATCTGCAATCTGACTAATTGAGGTCAGTTGTGACGTTAATGTGATTCACCTCCAAGGAGGTGAACAGTGGACTCTTACAAAGGGAAAAATCCTGGTTTATGATCTTTAGCAATTGATAGTGGAGGAGTTCAGTGCTTGTAAAGAGATCCCAGATAAAAGATATCATGCTGCATTATGCAGTCCGCAAGCCTACGGGGAGACTCTCACATGGACCAATTCCCCTCCTGTTGCTGATCACGTAACAGCTTCCAGAAGAGGCAGCCAAGTTCTTCCTAACTCTCAGATGTTCTCAGAGGCCACCTGGCTGTCCCGTGAGGAGCCCAGACATCTCTCTCAATAGCTGGAGAGGAGGAAGAGAGCCTCCTTTCCAGCCAGCTCACCAAAGACCATGGCCCACAGATTGATATCTGCTGAGATAAGGCTTGTGCTGGCACTGGTGCACTAACTTGGAGAAGTCAGTCCCCTCTGGGCCCTGCCCTCCACCAGTAAAACAGGGATAACGCTGACCTTCACTCAAGTGTGTGTGTGACCTCTGGCGGAAGAGTGAAATGAAACAGTAATTCCGTCCACTTCGCAGCTCACAACACTAGAATACTCACAGGACAGATCTTGCCATGTGCCCAGTTCCCTCTGAACACTCAGCAGAAGCCTGACTAGAGATCCAGCAACCAGCTCTCGTACTCTCCCTGCAAGGGCAAACATTCGACAGAGCAAGAGGGTGGTATGAGTAATGGTGCCAGTTGGATAGCACAGAATGAATGAGAGTCCGCAGGCCAAATCCCTCGGAGAGCCCTAAATGAGGACATTAAGTCTTATTCTGTGCACGCTCAGAAGGGAGGAACAGAGACGGTGCTGCCAGGGGGATCTATCCATCTCTCAGACAGGAGCAGCTGCAATTACAAAGACAGAAGGGATGGATGGATGGCAAGCAGGGAAAGGGTGAGAACTCTGAGATGCACAACTGATGCTGAAGCAAATATACACAAGTGAATTGGCACGAAGACCAACATTTCAACAAGAGTCTGGCCTGGGCAAGGCTCCCTCAGTTGGACCTTCCCCTCACAGAAGCTCTTGATTATTTTGAGAGGAAAGGACTGTGTTCATGTATTTAAGACCCAGGGCTGGGGCTCACGGGATCTTGATTCAAACCCAATCTCTGCCAGAATTATTGAGTGACCCTGGGCAAGTCACTTCATCTCTGTGGGCCTCAGATGGCAAAACTGCCAGCTTTTGTCTGATAGCTCTCAAAGGGTGAGATTTTTCCAAAGCATTTTAGCAGAGTTAGCCACCTAGCTTCCTTAGACACGTTTGAAAATTCCTAACCCCCTCTCACTGACTGTCACTTAGTAAGTGTCCGGAGAGAGAGGAACACTAGCAGAACCACAGCTAGGTTAGGGTCTAGACCCTAGAGGCTACCGGAATAATTCTAGAGAGCTCTAGCAAGAAGTTCTGACACCTTCCATCTCTCTATTCGGAGGGGCTGTTAACAAAACACATGGCTACATGACTAGTGTATTCTGAAACAGTAGCAAAAGTAGGAACCATCAGGGGAAGTTACCACCAGCTACCATGCAGAGAAAGAGCAAGTTACACAGTTACTTGTCCCATGCAAAACCCTTACCAGTCTCTCACAGATGGGCAGCATTTTTGTTTTTCTTTAGAGCTCTCAAACTCTGTTGCCACCTCACAGCACACACAGCATTGTGCCTATAAGGGCTTTTCCCCAAGATTAGAGTTACCCAAGGCTAGAGAGGTAGGCACCAGCTGCATCAAACTGCTGCAAAGATGTCACCAGACAAACTGACATTTCTGCATAGTAAGCCTTGAAAGGAGACAGCAAGCTTGTTGGACCTCAGTTCTTCCTAAAAATACTGGGGTACTTTGAATTTTTTACCTGGAACTAACCAGTGGAGCAATGACCATTTGCAGCAGCCAGGGAATTTGCCTCTATCCATTTTCACCCATCAGCAGAATTTATTCCTATTTGTCTTAAAATACTCACAAGCAGAAATAGACCTCATTGTTTTTATGCATAACATTTTTAAGCATTTAAATTCTCACCCCGCCCATTTAAATTCTCACCATTGTGCAAAATTATGGTTTTTAAAAAAAGATTTGCATTGATTTAAATGTTCACAGTTGCAGGAACTGGGGAGGGACAGGCAATTCATGACATTAGCTACTGAGATTAAAAAAGATAAAGGTTTATAACCATTACAACACAGATAGAAAACATCACATCAAAAAGGTAGAAGAAAGCACAGCTGTATTCCCTATAAACTGAATGCTTGGGTGGTCACCCACAAGAGATTCAAATGCACCCACCTGATTAGCAGAGTACCCAGAGCCAGCAGCATGG